ATCTTGATTAAAGTAAACTAAGGACTGTGCATGATGAACTCATGTAAAATTCATGCTCTCAATTTCCCTCAGTGCTTTATGAGGTGTTGTAATTGTTTTACACCCTTTTCTGCATGTTGTCTTAGATGTGCTTTACATCAGGGACTTTGTCTACCTTTGTACAATGGTTGGTGGTGGGTTTTGACTGGTAGGATCCTGGCACCAGTATTCTGCTTTGGGAAATGCATTAGACCAGCCCCATGAATGAGCCAAGAGAAGCTGATGACATTGCTTTGCCCAGAGGCTGCTGCAGCAGAGGAAGTCTAATCACAGACTTCAACAGGCTTTGGATCAAGTCTACAACAAAGCTGTTCTAAGAAGGCAGTGTCAACAAACTGCTATTTCCTGCAAAGCCAGCTTGGCTTGGTGCAGGAATCATAGGATCTCTCATTCAGAGGGCTCTAATCAGTCCTCCTCCTCCTCTGGGCCCGTTAAGTGGGATCTAACCCATAAGCTCTATGATTACAGCAGATACCAAAGACCTATGTAAGGGCTGAATAACTCCTTTTATTTATTTTAAGGATTGCTTCAAGTACAAGGTTGGTCAAAGTAGTGCTGGTGGTGGAAGAGCAAAGAACTTACGCCTCTTCACATGAAATGTTACTTCAATTTCCAGCTACTTCCTACTCAGGGAAATATTGTTTACAGATGGTGCAGTCTCAACGCGGTTGTACGCCGCTCTGTTATTCTCAAGATGGATTTATTACTGCAGAGAAATCTTTCTGCTATCTTGTTTCCCCTTTTCCCTCTCCTGAGGTTCACTCTCCCCACCATGTGGAATAGTTCTGCTGAAAATCCATCCAGTGGCAAGATGTAAAAATTCAACATCTATAAACTTCACAGACTGGTTTGCTGTTGTTTTCTTTAAATCCCAGCCTAGGCTTGGCAAGGTGGACAGAAACGCCTGGTGTGTCTCCAGAAATGGAGACCTTTAGTCCTTTTTGGGCCAGATATGGAGAGACTCCATTCCTTGCAGGAAAAGCAGTTGCCATGGTAGATAGCAGCCTTGATGTGAGGTGTGTTGACTTCTGTCACATCACACCTCTGAGAGGAGGTGGAAAAGGAAAAATGCTCAGCATTTCAGAATGAAAGGAAGGTTGAGTTGCTGCAGGTCCCTGCCTCTGACTTCTTTGCTCACCTGCTGGCATGAATTGGTTCATCAGCTGCCTAGACCAGCTGATAGAGTACAATACCAGACGCCATTGAGGACTTTTGAAGAAATAATAAAGGATATGGCTGTAATGCTGTGAGACAGACCAGAGCCGGCAAGAGCTACTTGGGAATCCTAGGAAAGGGCCCCTCCATCTTATAGTGTGACCATACCTGAATGGTGCCGACCTCTGGCTATGGCTTCCCTTGAGGCCATCTGTGAAGACACCCATTTTTAGGCTCCCATCAGCCTGCCTTGAAAGCTGGGGCAGGTCCAAAAGACCATTCTATATTCAAGCCAGCTGGTACATGTCTCACAGGTAAGATGAATTTCTTCCTGGCTACTGTAGTGGAGAAAATCAAATTATCCCAGAGAGCCATGATTCTGAAAGAGCAATTCTGTCCTTTTCCACCCAAAGCAGAGGTCCGGCAAACAGCAGTTACTCAGGGTTAGAGCTCCAGGCTGGGTTACGTATCTCCAGCAGGTTATTTCTGAGTCTGCACAGGTCTCCGTGCCCTGGTTACACTCTCTTACATTTCCAAACCTTCTTGGCTAGCAGCAGTATTTTTGAAATAGCATCTGCGGAAATTATGGTCTTGCTTCACTGCATACACTTGGATGATAGCTGGTTATGGCTGTATCTTATCTGTAGCTCTTTAAATCTAGTGACCTGCATATAAATGCTTTTTTTTAATTAAAATTAGGTAAAACATAACTCTTTCCATAAATGATCACTGTTCTTCTTGAGACCTGCTCAGTGGTTCCACCTTTTTCTTTAATTCAACATTTCAATTAATTCTTTCTTTTTTTTTTTTTCTTAAAAAAAAAGGGAATATGTACTAGTCATGTGTGTACAGACCATATTTGTGTGGGTTTGGTGCTGATCAGCTGCATGTGTGTTTACAATAGCCCTTGTGTTATCCCAGCCGGCAGCCTAAAAACACTTCCAAATTATTCCACATCAGAAGCAAAGAGGGTTTGGATAGAGTCCTACGGGAAAGTCTTGAAGTGGTGCCCAAACCTCAGTCCCAGTGCTGTAAGTCAGGCACGTGGCTGATATTTTATCCACCCCAACTTGGACTTTCGCAAGCTGTTTTGTTTGTGGAGGAAATGGGAACTTGGGAGCAATTTTAGTCAGTGATTTCTTGGAGATGGGCTTCCTCCTGTCCTTTGTCCTCTTTTCCTCTCTTGACACACGTGCCTGTGCTCTGTCCATGTTTTCTAAGAAATGATGGAAAATATGTGCACGTAAGCACAACGGCTAGCCTGTACTAAAACAAACGCTTCAGTGGATAGGGACTGACCTGGTTACAATTTGTGCCTTTGGAATGACGCTGATTTTATGCATAAAACATTTGAATGACTGTAGGTGGATGAGCACTAGGGATTTCAAGTTCAGCTCTGTTACTAAGGTTTGGTGTTTGCTGTTAACCTCAAAGTAGGCTGCGAAGTTCAGACCTAAATGGTGCTGTAATAAAAAGCTGGAAATGCTCCGGTAAATGTTCCAAGCTTTGTCCTCATTAAGTGTCACAAAGGTAATGATCGAAGCTTTTAGACTGCAACTTCTGTGAAGGAGAAAGAGAACGGCTGGTCCTCAGGGTCCTCAGCTCTCAGGCAGTTTTGTTGCATGGCCGCCCTGGGACCGAGCATTGATGGACTTTCCAGGTCTGAACTTCACAGGCAATGCCCTAGAACGTAGCGTCCTGAATCAGGTGTTTCCCAACCAAGCTCAGCTCTGCAGCTTGGAGAAACAGCTGCCCTTTGGACCAGACAGCCCTCCCTGAACTCCCATGAACAAGCTAAAAACTGCAGTGGTCATTCACAAAAACGTAAGTCATTGTTTTGTAGCTGTGTCGCAGGTTAGGTCAGCAGTGGCTGAGGATGTCTGGGGGGACAATCCTACATAATTTGAAAAAAAGCAGTATTGTGTTGTCTCAAAAAGAACTCTCTACAGTGCGATTTCAGGTCTAGAAATAACTGAGTAATTTGCTTTTTAGTTGGACTAAAGATGACATTGTTTTCCAAAAATGTTGGCATTACTGTGGCTTGGAAACTCAATACCTCAGCCAGCTCTGGTCTTGGACCTTCAGTTACTTGTATAATAGCCTACTTTACTGTTGGAGTAAAGATCACTTTTAAAAATGTAATTTAAAACCAGCACATGCATTGAATTAGGAATGCAAAATTATTTTATTACTATCTCATCTCAAAACCTTTTCCTTGACTGTCTGCAATTCTGAATTGCAAAATGTATTACAGAAACACAACTGTCATACTTTATAATGTGAGATAAGACATTCTGTGGTGGTGGTTTGTCTCAAAAAACCCTAAAAAAATCCAAAGCCATGCAAGAATAATATGTCCAGCATCAAAGCTAGAATCAGGTGCATAATATTTTGCCCCTCTGAGTATTGAAAGGGTTGGGAGGAGGATGTGCTTCAGATGGGATGGACTAAGAGGTGTGTCTCTTACAGAGATTGCTAATTCCTTTAGTTAAACTGCTTTACAGAGGTCGTGCTCTGAGGCTGAGAGAAAGACCTAAACTTCTCCTTCCTAGGTGGTGCGGAAGTTCAGAAGAGTATGCATGATGCACATGATCACTTGACTCCAGGATCTGGAGCTTTCAGACTCTTGTCTTTTCCTCTGCAATTTTATAAAAGAAATTCAGGAATCTGGTGACACTGAATGACCTTACAGAGAAAAGCAATAATCGCTCTGGAACTTGGGCCAATCCTTTTCCTCATTAGGGCAATGAAGCTTTTATCGCTTCTGTAGTAATGATGCATTTTTAAAGCATTTCACACCTACTTTAAATCTCAGTAAAGACCATGAAACTTCTTTGGTCGTGGCCACATGGTATCTATTGTTAAGCAGACTGTTAAAATGAATCAGCCCAGATTAAGCAGCCAAAATTACCACTTGCTATTGCTTGCCTGAATCTGTTCCCTCAGAGACAGCCCCGTAAAGAGGCTGAATGCTGATTAAACACTTCTCCGCCAAGTGGAGTCAGAAAAATTCTGGCAGGAATTGCCTGTAGAAAGCATGGAAAAAAAATGTACGAGACGTAAAAGGCTCGATGTGTCGGTCTGCTTGAATCCAAACCGTCCCCTGCCGCAAAACCCTTCGTTAGCGAGCCTTCCATCTGCCTGATGAGAGCTTCTGTATCCTGGCCCTGAATTTCCTTGCTCTCTCCCCAGGGGCATTATCTTGTGAGTTCATTATTACTGCTGGCTGTAATTCATACTCCAATAGGCAGTGCTATTAGCAAAAAAGATTAAAAAAAAACATTGGTAAATGGCCTTGATTTGCCTTGGAGCTCAGACTGGAGGTTTAAACTTCCTTGGAGGCAACCATCCAGGGCAGGACTATGGGAAGGAGGCTCAGCCCATGCGCCTTCAAATGCACTTGTTGGCAATGGAGGGCAGGAGGAGGAGCAACTTGCTTGTGACCTTTCCCACTGGGCTACTTAAGCAGAAGCAACTGGACCACCTCTAAAAGGGCTATTTGACCCCCAGGTAGGCTGGATCCTTGAGCACAAGGGTACTGCTTTGTGCTAGCTGAGCATGCAGCTCTACAGCCTCCAAATAAAGCTCATGGCTTGCAGAAAGCTAAATGAAGAGTAGCTGTCTTGCTTGCTGGAGAACATGGCTTTGATTTTACCTTCCACCACTGAGCTGGTTGTTCTTGAGCCAAGGGATATACTGAATTCGGACAATCTACTATGTTACTGCAACCCAGTTTCAAAAAGAAAAATCAATGCTTTGTTTAGATTTTGTTTTTCAGCCTCTTTTCTCCTCTCCTTTCCTCTAGTCTTCCTTCTCCCCCTCTCTGAAAGCATGTACATCAGTGAGTCTTAAGGGAGCAATCACACTTGTTCACAATGAAGGAATTTGATCTCCTGGTAATTATAGATGGAAAATCACAACATTGGGAATGTCTTCATTTGAACAGAGGGGGATTCCTGCCAAGACTTGGATTGTCTTGGAAGAAGGAGAGTGCTGTCAGGATCACAGGATGCCAAGCCGGAAAATTCGGGGGCCAGATCCTGTGGCTGGAGAAAGCGGGTGCAATGCCACTGACTTCAGCAGAGCTCTGACTTGTGTCAGCTGAGGATGCAGCTCCTGTGGAACTGTGCTGGGATCCTGAGAAATGCTGCGGGGTGAAAGCTTGCCTTTCAAAACACAGCAGATGACGTCTGAAACCCAGTATTCTGTTTAATATCATGTACAATTCCTCTCCACCAGCTCTGTGTAGTCTGGCCCTTCAGTCCGAGTGACATCTGGTGTCAATAATTGTTTTTTACTTTTTAGTAGTTTTGTTAAAGGCAAATAACTTTCACATAGGGCTAATGGAGGAGCTACCATCTTAGCTGATGGATGTGTCGTGCAGCCCAAAGCTGAAGAGAGTGAATCGCAAAAGTGATCATGGACTACAGCTCTGCACCTCCAACAGGGCCTCTCATCTTGCAACTCTCAGTACTTTTCTACCCCCCGCCCCAGCAAAAACTTGTCCAGAAGCTGGTCTGAGATGGATGTAAGACCATCTGGTGACCAGTGCGTCAATCAATGAGATCAGCCCTGGCTTCTCCTGCCCAGGTGGCTGCCACCAGCTCTGCCCAGCTGCATCAGCTTACCCAGTGGAGGGGATTTGAATGGACCCGATGCCAAAGTCTGGAATAATTCTTCAATTGTGCTTACACTGGAGTCATTTATTTTGGTAGGTCAGTGTTTTTACTGCAAATATACTATGTTGAAACAGGGACCGCAAGCAATCATGCCAGTGGGGCTGCTGTAGCTGAAGATGTGCAACTGCAGAGGTTGCTGTGGTTTAGGTTGTGCCCCCTCATTTAGCTGAATCGAAGCAATTTGTGTGCTGACTCGTACCTAAACAGAGAGTTCATTTGTGTGCCTGGGTTTGTCTATCGGCTCCACTAACTGCTGGGAAGGCAATAGTGGGTGAAGGGCATTGCAGATGTGCAGCAAGCCTCCGTCTCTCCAATGAGCCAGTGGTGCTTGTCTTCATCCTTTGCTTGGAATTCCTTAGCTTTGTAAATGAAGTTGAAAAATCCATTCTAGTGCTTTTTTGGGAGCCATCCCAAATAAAATTGGGCTGACTGGGCATGAAGGTAGGAGATGAGTTTCACATGGGGCTTTGCCTCCTTTCCACTGCTCTGGTGTTGCTGTCCCTTCAGTAAAGCTACTGTGGTTCTGGGGGAAAGGCTTAAAAGAAGAGGGGAAGAAAACAGGAAAAAAAAAAAACCCAAAAGGTGGAAACTGCTCTTCTCCAGGGTGTCACCTGGTAGAGAAGGACTGAAAAGCCCTGCTCCTGAGAGCCGGTATGGACCATGGCTAAATGGGATCACACATGGCTCACAGTGACAGCAGGATGGTGTAGGTGGGAGCAGGACATCTTTCTGAAGACAGAAGGCTTCAGGGGCTTGGTAGTGTTTGAGGTATTTTTAATTCCTTTCAACAATTTACCTCTCTTTTGTCAGCAACAAGCAAGTTGGACTCTGGAGAGAAAAACATCTCACTGCTTGGCAAATTCCTGTAGATCCTGTCCTAGCTTTTTGTCCAAGGACATCTCAAGGCTCGCTTCTTCCCTGTCATCATCTTTTGGCAGGAAGAAGTGGCGATGGAGCCCTGGGAGACGGTGCATTAGCTCCATTGGCAGGGTCCATCCAGCAGGTCTCTGCCTGCTTTGCATTACCCTCCCCAAACCTATGGCTCATTGTTAGCCACGCAGCGAGGCTGGAGGGCTCCCATGACATGCATGCCAACCCAGAGGGCCTGGTGAGCAATATCTGGCGGTCTCTGGGGCTAATTTGCATTTCATTTGGTCACGCCAGCCCACCTTAATGAGCAGTTCTGCCTTGCATTTGACTTTTTTCCAGGATGCCAGGTTTTGGAGGTTGCAAAGAGGCAGAAAATCTGCAAACTTTAGTAAAGAGGAAAATATTTAATAAAACCTTAAACAAGTGCATATTCTGTGGTGCTCTGGAAATGCTCCTGGCGTTCCCTGGTGTGAACAAGCAAGGATGGGCTAGCAAACCCTGCGGCACCTGCCAGATGCCATATTCTTTTCTGACTCCAGATTTTACTAATACAACTTGACTCCAGGCTGAATATCCCAGCAGAGCTATTGCCTTATAAATAGAGAGGTAATTCATGTGCTCCAGCTCTCTGCAGCCGAGCTTAGGGAATTTTTCAGCTGTGGCTCTGGTCTGCAGTCCCACAGCACAGCAGTGACCTGTAGTGAGGAAAACTGGAGGAATACTGCAGTTGGGTAACTCTCCCCAAAAGCGAAAGAGGTAAACAGAGATAAACAGGTGCTTGGTAATGGATATCCTTATTTTCTAGATAAACACCAGTTCTATTTCTTCCAAGCTCTGCCTCAATATCTTATATCCTCTAGAACTCACTTGGCTGGTTGCGTGTCATTACATCTATTTTATGGTGGTGTTTTTATCTGTTAAAAATAGATTTTTAAAAGCAGATTTTTCTTTTTCTTTGTGCTTTGCCTCATAAAAGACTCGTTGCCAAGTGTTTGAAACCCTGCATCAATCAACAGTATTTTCTACATATGAAAAGAAGAATAATTTGAATTCAAATGTGACTTCAAAACTTAGAGTTTCAGGGGTTTTCCCCCAGGGTTTGAAATAGGTATAATTTTAAGAGTGTTTCTTATAAGTACTTATGTCAAACTAAGTTGTAACTACAATTATTTTTTTAACAGAAAGTTGAAATTACTCATAATGACACTTTTGGACAACTTCACTTGAAACGTTGATACTTTGAAAGCTGTGAAAAATCTGGGAAACACTGGACATTTTTAGATGCTTAGTTAAAAATTAATCATGATTCTGGGAAGGGGCTTATTTGTCCCTAACACCCTGTATTGTCACTGGTGATGGAAACCCATTCCAGGCTTTTCTCCTGGACCTTGCTCGGTAAAGGACTTGTTTCTGGAATTGTTGTCACATGTAACCAGACCTTGTGACTCTTATAACTTACTCAGAGTGAGCCAGCCTTGCATTTTCCTCCGCAGGCTAATGCCATGCTAATTTAAAAACTGCAACGCTGAAAGGCAAACAAAGAAGAGGATTAGACCAAACTAGTTCCACAGCACACATTGTACATACTAATGTCTTGTTGAAACAGGAGAAGGCTGAAAAAAATACTGCCCGTGGTTTAACAAGCAAGCTTGCTTTCTGAATCCCTGCCTCCTTTTGCCAATCAGATAGGGAGTATTCTGCATTGCTAAAGGAGCCAAGCTAATGAGATTATGGTTTATCACTTTGGAAACTAAAACTGTACCATTGGAAGAATACAATTTATATAGGAATTGTGCTAAACCCTCCGTATGATCACTGGACTCTCTTCCTGAGGTTGTTTAGGGGAAAGTGCTGAGCCTTGCAAATGTTTCCACATAAATGACTGCATCTCCAAGCAAAAAACCTTGAGCCACTTTATGTCCTGAGTTTCATCTCAGCCAAGCAGTGGCCCGAGCAAAGTCGGGCTTGGCAAGAAACAAACGTGCAAATTTCAAATCCGGTGTTTCAAATGCGACACGTCACAGATCTCTTACTGACCTGGCTGCATAGGCTGTGCCTGCTGTGTGACAGAAAACGCGCATTCCTTAGGATTTTCCCCAAGTGCTGCCACCTAATTGCACTGCTAGATGTGGGGCAGCAGGAACAGACTGTCTGCAAGCAGAGGAGGAAAACCTCTGCACTGGTCGTCTTTAGGAAGAAACCCTCTGCAGTGGTCACCTTGACTGATGCTGTGCGTGTCTGTAAGAAGAGCTGTAGCATCTGCTCGTGTTTCTCCAGCTCTGTAGCTCTGTGGTCTCCCACCCTCCGGGCAGCAACTGCCCCGCAGTGCGGTAGCAGCATCGGGAACCCCAAAAGGGAGAGCTTTCCAGCTCTGTGCCTGTTTCTGGCAGGTTTTAAAAGTAGTTTTACAGTTGCGTTTCTTTATCTTTATTCCCTGTGAAATCCCCTGCTATGCAGAGCAGACAGTGCTGCTGGAGAAAGCGAGCTATCTCTGGAAAGAAAGAGTATTCACCCACTGCAGTCACTGCGAGGTAGTAGAGGGGCTATCTCAGCAACCCTTAAACTACTAGCTCAGTAGCAGTTCAAGTGCGGGAAGAGCAGTTGTCAGCATAATGTGCCTCTGTGGTGGGCTTGATGGGTGAGGATTTAACCCTCTCCGCTTGATTTCCCTGTTGGTATGCTAAAGGTCTGGCTTATAGGGTCAGGGGATACAGCAGCAAGCTGAACTTAGCCTTTAGCTCCTTTCAACCCTTCCCTCCCCTGTTTTGCTTTTCACCAGCAGGAAAACATTTGCAAGATGGCATCGGGCAAAAGGTGGCTTGCTTTAGCTCTGACACAGGCCACGTAAACAGCTCCTTGGGGCTGATTCCCAGGACCACCGAAGTCAGTGGCATGAGTCCCACCATCACTTAAGGCTCCACTAGGCTTGCTCCTAGCTGGTTATCGGAGAACACGTGGGCTGTAGTTTCTGTGCTAGAAATTCCTGATGTTTATGGACTTTTGACTTAGTTATTTTTGGAAAACATTAGCTATGGCTTGGCATCCTGCCTAATCACTCCTCCTGGAGTATCGGTAGTTCACTCTGTTTGGGGAATTCAGAGGCTTCCCCCTCCTGTGTCCAATTTTTATTTACAGAGCCTCGTACCAATCTAAGAGCTAACTGCGGTGCCAGTTTTCCATTAGAAAGCTAAGGGTAATCCCCCCCTTCTCGCTTTATCCAAACAAACCTGGTGTGCCACATTCCTCCTGTCTGCTGTTATGGTGGAGAAGCAGTCCCAGGAAAGCCTAAGTGTGATGTGAAAAGGAGGAAGATAGGAGAGAGGGGAAAAGTTGGACGTCTTCTGCTTGGGGAAAAGTTGGACGTCTTCTGCTTGGGGAAAAGCTGGTGCTCTGGTGTAAATATGTAGTGATGGCGGTCCTGCTGCTCCCTTGGGTGGCAGTTTGAGTGCAAATGCTCTAGTGAAGCTCTTGGAAACTCCCTTTGGGGTTCAGGGCTATTTCAAATCAGTTTTGCTTGGTTTTTTTTTTAAATTTGCAGTATGCTAAAGCTGACCCTTGAAGCCCTGGGAGTTAGCTTCCCCTTGGGGACTCTCCTGGTCTCTCCACCCTTAGCTCAGGAGCAGTGTTTTAAATCCCAGAGTTTTAAACATGAATGCGTGTGGGTTCTTCCTTTTCAGTTCACAGCTTTTAAGGAGGCAGTTTAGAAAGAATTTTTCCCCTTTTACAGAGAAAGCTGTGTTTTTCACCCACAAGTCAAGAACAGAAGATTTTAAGATACAAGTACCAAATCAGAGTCTTGAATTAAAGGGCTCGGTGCTCTGTGCTTGGCATTTCTCTCCCTCTCCCCCGTCCTCACTAGGTCTCAGACAAAGCACTTGGCATTTCTCAGCATCTTCCTAAAGTCTGAGGCTCTCCGTGGTTTATCCGCGCCAGCCTCACTGCAAAGCACCACTGTCCTGCTCGAGCTCTGCTAGCACATAAATCGCTGGGATCTATGAGATGGCAATGGGAGGTGATTAAACAGCGGCTATCTGCTAAAACCAAATCTCAGCCAGTGGGAAGCAGATAGGGCTGAAGCATCTTCCCCTCTGACCCACAGGCGCCTGCATCAGTTGGACCTGCCATCAGCGCAACCCACGTCCCGGGGGCTGACATTCACCTT